TGTCACGACGTGTCATGACTTTTTCTCCATTGCCAGCAACGGGATGGGTGCGGTTTTGGCATGACGCATCCAGCCCACGGGCCGGCAGTTTGACACCCCTACCCTTAAAATATAAATGACTGCGATCTACTACTAAGCACTTAATGGGCAGACTAAGTTTTCATAGAGAATGCTCAGGCAAGAAGATACATATTCTTAGTCTTTGAATAAAGGTAGTCCTTGATTTATCACCACAATTCCATTCCTAAGCAAGGCAGTTGTTAAGTGAATTGCACCCCATTTTATGACCTTTTTTTGCCACCGTTGTTACGTCAATGGCTGCAGTTGTTAAATGAATCTTGCATTCATTAAGCAAATCTGGCTTCCTCCATTGACTTTGCTTGTTGGAAACAGGCTGGGAAGATAACAAATGGTGATCACATGACTCCCGGACAGCGCAGCTGTCATAAACGTATGTCAATTGCCAAGCACCTGAATTTTGATCATCTGACTATGGGGATGCTGCAAGTGTGAAAATCAATCCTAAGTCACTTTTTCGGTGTCATTGTAACTTTGCATGGTCACTAAAATGAATGGTCGTAAGTTGAGGACTACCTGTACACATTGGCTAAGAAGTCATCACCTCTTTCTAGTGATGAAAAATGACCTGGCAGTCTCTAGAAGTGGAGTGTTATTCCCACCACTTTCAAAAATGCTATCAAAACAACCGCAAGAACTAGTGTAGGCAGTGGCCAGGACTCAGCGCTGACCTGGAGCCTCCCCTCCCCAAAAATAAAAGATGAAGGAAGGTTGCCTTAATATATTAGAAATGAAAATAAACAACAACTGGCTTATTTATCATCTAGCAAAAATTCAAAAGCTGGAGCCACTTGGTTTACTTTGGTTGCATTTGCATATTATTGATGCTTAACTTTCCCATCCAGATTCAAACTAAGCAAAGTCCAAATAAATGCAACTGTATTTTTTTTTTCACACTTCCGCTTTGAGTCTTTACCTTTCCTTCCCTTGCTCTCCCTCCCCCTCTTATAAAGGCCAGGGATATTAAGATTTCTCCAAAATAACTAAACATGAAGTAATGTCACGATACGAGCTCTGCTCCTTATGTAAAAGATAAAGGAGTCCTTGCGCATTTTACTCCGCTTGTTGCCGACTGTAGGGGGGTGATGCTTATCTCTGCTTCAAGACCATTGAACTAGTGTTGTCCAAAGACTCTTCCATGGTCATGTGGCCAGCATGACATCATGGAGCGCTGTTAGCTTCCACTGAAGTGGTACCTATTTATCTACTAGCATTTGCATGGCTTTCAAACTGCTAGGTGGGCAGGAGCTACGGTGAGGATGGGAGTTCACCCCCTCGCATGACACTCAGGGCTCAAACCTGGGCTGCCAGCTTTCCAGCCAACAAGCCCAGTGTCAGGTTCAAAGCGCGTGTATGATATTGCCACCATTCTTGCTTCTTAGCTTGCCAATGCACTAGGGGGGAGGGGAGGAGGAAATGGAATGCATGTTCCAGAAACAAGAAGTCAGCCCGTGTAACCCAAGGACGTTTCAGCAGATGTTTGCAAATACACAGAGACACTTTCTCATAACAATATCTTGACACTCGATTGGACCATATGACCTGCACTAATAGGGGGAAGGGAGAATTCTATGTTTTAACTATAGTGGATTGCACGGGAAATAGCCAAAGCTAGTTTTGCTTCATTCACGCCCAAATAATGTACTCAATAAAGTTTTGTATTAAGAGATCGGATCATCTTGATTGTGCTTGTTTGGTTGGGTTTGTCAATCGGAGCCTTGACACCCAGCATTTTAACCCCTGAGCCACCGCATCGCCCCTTATGGACTTGTGTACTAGCTCCTTATGTACTTGCATCTAACTCTGCATGGCATGCATGAAAGAGGTGGAGTTTATGTTGTGATGTTGCAATGCACATCCCCCTCCCCCATGTCTGTGATCAGAGCCATCTGCAGGGAGATCAAAAGAAGGCATATGCTGAATACAGCGCTGTGCCATTGCAGCACAACCTCTTCCCCTTTGGTACATGTGTCATGACACAGCATGCATTTATGAAAGTGGCAGTGACAGCAGGACACTGCTTTTGTCATTTTGACAAAAATGCATCAGATCCTATGGACACCTCCACTTCCAAACCTTACAATCTGCAATTCTTTAATTCTAAAATTTAAACGGCAGGAAGGAGTCTTGTGATTTTCATGTTCTTGACCACTGGATTTCCCCTACCTTTGCCATAGAACAGGGATTAATGGGAGATGAAATCCAAAACATCTGGAGGGGATGCCAATTCCTGCATTTAAGGTTAATTTCAAAAGGCTCCTTTGGCCAGATGTTCAGTTACATAATTCATATTTGGGGGTTAAAGTTTAGACAGTAGCAAATCCTCTCTTTAGACGGCAAGTTTGGTCTAGGGGTGAAGGCACCAAATTAGAAACCAGGAGACGGTGAGTTCGAGTCCTGCATTAAGCATGAAAGCTGGCTGGATGACTTCGGGCCAGTCACTTTCTCTCAGCCCAACTCGCTTTGTGTTGTTCATAAAAATAATAAAGGCAGGATAAAATAAGGAATATTAAAACTTTCCAATCATTCGCTGGCTGGGACTTTGAGCTTCTGCCCCAAAGTCCTATGTTTTACCATTTCCTCCGATAAAATTTTCCTTGTACTGCAATATTTAATCTGGTTTCAGCGTCATTTACACGCTCAGTTATTCTCCCTATCATAACAATAATATATACAACCATTGTATCACCCAGGTTCCTGGATCATAGAGAATGGTTCTACAAACCAGCTGCTTCCGTGAGATGAGAGTGCAGCTGTCTGCAGCTCATTAAAGCAGCCTTCTCTTCAGCATCTCTTCCAAATTGAATTAAATGCATTGTGAAGATTTAATGAGAACCAGATGAACTGTATGGTCTGGCTCTTCAATCATTTATCAGTGAAGTTGATTCTCTCATCTACTATGTTGCTTTAAAAAATAACATTTCGGCCATGCTTTTGGCTGTAAGCCAAGGAGTGTATTAATGGGCAATAAAATATATTTGGTTGAGTGGTTTTAAAAGAAAACAAAACATCCATTCCCAAAAGGAATGTCACAGACAGTACCACAATATGGAACTCCTCCTTGAGGAAGATGGGCAGTCTAGAAACGTGAAATAGAAGTAAACAAATCTTGCAACCAAAGCCATTGTCACAAAAGAACGAAAGAATAAAATAGAGTGTAAAAGATTAAAATAAAAAAGCATGGCAAAGAATAATAAAATAAAATGAAGAGAAGCTGGAGCAAAACTGCTAAGCAATTCCAATCCATTTACCCATCCATCTCGGCTCTCAGCAACAATGATATCTGCCAAGCCAGATGTAAAGAAGCCAAAGCTATCCTGATGTAAAATCTAACAATATCAGTCCTTGCCTGAACTCTCTTCCAAAAGCAGCAGAATGTGGAACAGTACATCAAGCCTGTCACTAATACCTGGAACACCTTGCAAACAGGGAAGAATCTGCTGTTGCTGTTGCCATCACCATTTCTCTAGTCTTGCTAGCAAGAGAGAGAGAAAACAAGTACATACAAGAAACTGGGACTCAGGAGAAGTCATGGTATTGCTATAGTTCAGCGGTTCTCAACCTATGGGTTGCGACCCCATTTGGGGTCGATTGACCATTTCACGGGGGTCACCAAGCAAGGCTGTCCGCCATTTTTTTTGTCCGCCATTTTTTTCCCCTTTTCCGGTGGGTGCCTTACCTCCCTTGGGCTGGGCCAGCTGGTGGTCGGCCTGCTCCGTCTCTGCCGCTTGCCAGCTACGCCTCGGCCGGCGCAGGGGGCGGAACCACTCATGCGCGGCGCTCCCGGGCAGGGAAAGTCCTCGACTTACGACCGGTTGGATAGTCCTCGACTTACGACCGGTTTAGTCCTCGACGTACGACCGGTTTAGTCCTCGACTTACGACCGGTTTAGTCCTCGACTTACGACCGGTTGGGGGTCGCGGCATTAAAAAGGTTGAGAACCACTGCTATAGTTGGACCGCTAAGCAGGGATTCAGGGTGACACATCAAACAACTTTGTTCCACGCTGATCTATCTTCCCCACCAAATTTAACAGTGGAATGGATGCAGGAACGAGAAAGGGTGAGAGAAACAAACAGTGGGTAGAGGCCATTGTGTCTAGGAGGGGAAGATGAGAAGCTGACACTTCTCTGCGATCTGGGGTGCTGTGGCCTGCTGGGGTGCTTTGAGAATTAGATGATACAAGTCAACATCGGTTATTGCTTCCTTGAGGGAGGAAATCAGGAGCAATTGTTCCTAATTTCTTCCTACATACAGAAGTCTCCTCTCCTTTCTCTATGGATAGAAGCAAATAAGAGTTCCTACCTTCTCCAGTACACAGAGAAAGAGACAGGAATCAGACTGGAGGGTTGAGGAAGACTTTAGAGAAGGCAAGATTTCTCTATCAATACTCTGCAGGCCAGAGCAGATTTATTAGCCAAAGTTGGCCTGTGGACCGAACGTTATACTGAGATATAAAGTTGCAGCCCAGATTAGCATATTTCCAAATGCTTATTGGCAAATCAAGAGCAAGGAGGACCAATTTCCTGCCTTCTGAAGACCAGAAATATCTGCCCTTGTTTGGCCAACTCTCCATCTCTGTTTATACCAGACATGTCAAACTCGCGACATCATGTGACATCGCGCAACGTATCGGGACTGTTTTGCCATTGCCAGTAATGGGGTGGGCACAGCTTCCACATGACATGTCCAGCCATGGGCCGGCAGTTTGACACCCCTGGTTTAGATGTTTTCCTGATACCTGATTGAGAAGGCCCTCGTTCCACTTATGTATAGTCCCATATACTGTTGTATTGACTCTGTATAATTTGATTCAATGTGCAGGTACTAGGACTAGTACATACCCATGGAGATGCTATTTTACTGTCATGTGAAAGCAATATAATAGCTACTTTGGAATTGCAGCGGTCCTTTCTTCAAGATTACATAAATTCTCCAATCTTCTCTTCAAGCTTTTTTGTATTAGGTCCAGTTACTTCAAAAATCTAGGATCAAACAAAAGTCAACACAGTTAATGGAAGATCAGGAATTTGAGGAAAGTACTTCTCTCATGTAAGCTTCCTCGGGTACTTTTAAAATCCCTTTTGGAGTCTTTCCTCTGTAGAGTTCCAGTTATCGATGAGAATAAGCTCAGTGCTGCAATGTTTTGCCCAGAGAACCGCATGTTTCCATTAATGCTATTTCACATCAGCAAAATATATATTTGATTTATTAGTTATTAAAGAGAGTTTCTACGAAGATTACTCTCAGCCTAAGAAGTTACTGCTTTTTCACTCTAAAAAACAGATTTTCTACACTGTTTGGTTTTATTCGGTGCTTTTTTAAAGTGAACTTCGCACTATTTCATTCTCATTAAGGCTACAGTATTGATTGCTCTTATCAGTATTCTCCTGGTCTGAGGGTTCTTTAGAAACTAAGATCTTTTAGAAAAAGCAGGTGAGGACTGTATCTTCTCAAACTGCTTCTTTTTAATAGTGTGATACCAAACAACTGGAAAGAAACTGGACTCGATTAATATGGGACTAAAAAGTTTCACTTGGTTTTTGAGTGAATCTTAGAGTATTAATGTAGTTTATATGTTATAATAGTTTACTTATTTTTATTTCTAATTATTAATATGATGTTATAATTATTGTGTTTAATACTAGTATATTTGTTTAAAAGAGAGTTAAAGGATGTTATAGATTTGTTATTTTAATAGTTGATTAATGTTAGATAGAGTATGATTATTGTATTGTTAACCCTGTGATTGGCTCTGGGAAGTGGGGGGGGAGGGAGGGGGGAGTGGAAGGGTGGGTTTTGGGGAGGGGGGGAATTATATTGTAAAACTTTTATAAAATTTTCAATTTAAAAAAAAAAAAGAAACTGGACTCGATTAGAAAAACAGCTCTGGGAAAATGCAGAATGGCCAAACATAACAGTATAAACAGTTCTGATTTCCAGAGGAAGAAATAGTGGACTGAAAACAGCTCCACAAAAAGCAGAGCTGAGGACATCGGCAAAGAGCCGGTGAAGAGACCAGCTCTTTGAACCTCTCCAGGGCAAGGGGAGGATTTGAGATTGCCCACAAGCGCTTCAGACAGCTGCTCCTTGCAAGGAAACCACAAGATAGCTTTCTCCGGCAGGTTTAGAGGTCTGAGAGACAAGAGAAGAAACATCTTGCTTAAACCGCAGATGGTGCCATTGAAAGGACACTATATCTGCATACTTCTTTTTCTAATTACTTTTGGAAATTACTTGTTAACTGCTTTTCAGCTATTAGGAACTTTTGGATCAACAAGCATTACACCATTTGATGAGTTCCCTTCAATCCTTAGTGAAAGAAAGATTTAACGGCAAATTTGAGAATTTTAATAATTCTTTTTAATAAACAGCAAAAGAGAATTAAAATGTTGATTTTATACAGTTACAATGGACAACAATGCTCCTGAAAAATTTGAAATAAGACTTTGGATTTAATTATAAATAATCTTGTCTGTGGGGAAAATGCTTTTGTTTTGAATTAAAAAAAATACAATAAGATTATAAAAATTGAACACTAGAAGGAACTAAAGAAAGTTGAACAAATATTTAGAAAATCATTTTTTCTGCCATCAATTGGTCATCTGGATTGCTGCAGCATAACTCTGTTAGCTGTAGCATAAAATGACTATTCCAATGTTCCAATTCCAATATATTTTGCACTCTTGTGTTTTTTTGTTATTTTTTTAACTACTGTGTTAGTGTTCACTAATCTAGTTTTTTTTTAATTGACTCAAATATGCTAATCATGCTACTAATAAACTGAGGTAAAAAAGAACTACAGGTAGTCCTCAACTTACAACCACAATTAAGCCTAAAATTTCTGTTGCTAAGTGAGATATTTGTTAAGTGAATTTTGCCCCATTTTAGGACCTTTCTTGCCTCTAAGTGAGACATTTGTTAAGTGAATCATTGCAATTGTTAAGTTAGTAACACAGTTGTTAAGTGAACCTGGTTTTCCCATTGACTTTGCTTCTCAGAAGATGGCAAAAGGTGATCACATGAGCCCGGGACAGTGCAACCGTCATAAATATGAGTCAGTTGCCAAGCATCTGAATTTTGATCACATGACCATGGGGATGCTGTAATGATTGTAAGTGTGAAAAATAGTCATGTCACTTTTCTTCATGCCGTCATAACTTTGAATGGTCACTAAATGAACTGTTGTAAGTTGAGGACTTACAAATTGAAAAATTTGATTCAAATTGGAAAAAGAGCTGAGATTTTTCTCAAAAAAAGAAATATATGCTAACCTACTTTTTCATTATGTTGATAAGAAGTATATGTATGATGTGTGTGTTCCTTTTTCACCTTATCCTCAGTGAAAGAATATTAAAACAGCATTGGGGATTGCGTGGTCTTCAGTCTAACAAGGTTGTTTGAAGAATATTTTTTTTCTGGATATGCTTTGTTATTTTATTGCCATAAATGCAAATTGAGGAATAGCTATTTCCGGTATTACTTAGTAGTAGAGGGACGGGAAAAAAGTAATATATTGATTGTGTCAAAAGCTGTGATCAGATAACAATCTAGATCTTCTTGATCTGCAGACCTAGCACTACTAAATATTGATTCTGCTCTTCCACCTGATCGGTTTTTATATTTTATAAAAGAGTTGGCGTGGATAGTTATTCCAATAAAGGTCTATATGTTTTTTAAAGGGGGACACACTGCAACTCCAAATGATGGACATCAGAGATGCAAGTATGAGCAATTAGTTGCCTGGCCCTACCTAGTCCAGATTCCTGGAAACTTGCAAAGCCGTTATGTTTCTCAGACTTTCCAGCATAATATTCCTGGTAGTCCTCAACTTACGACACAACTGAGCCCTAAATTTCTGTTGCTAAGTGAATTTTGCCCCATTTTACGACCTTTCTTGCCATAGTGGTTAAATGAATCACTTAACAGACGTTAAGTTAATCACCTGGGTCTGGCTTTCCTGTTGACTTTGCGGGTCAGAAGGTGCCCAAATGTGATCACACATGACTTTGAGACATTGCAACCGTCATAAATATGAGTCAGTTGTCAAGCTTCTGAATTTTGATCATGGAATCATGGGGATGTGCAAGTGTGAAAAATGGTCATATGTCACTTTTTCAGTGGTGGTGTAACTTTGGACGGTCATTAAATGAACCGTTGTAAGTCGAGGACTACCTGTATGTAAGTGTTCGCAAGGCAAAATGTATTCCTCCTTGCCTCTTCTTAACCCGGTTTAACTTTTAAGCTGCACTCTTGCAGGAAAGCCATTTAACACTTCAACAGACCCCAAAGTATTCACCTCGTGGACTATACCCCAAAACCACTAACCAAAGGTAGTTTTCCTAAATGACATTTAGATCTCTGCGTGTCCCATGAACTGCAGTTTGAATAACATGCATGAGTTGGTTGAACTTTATGTTAAATAGATGTTTTCTGCCTTCTCTCCTCCATTAATAATATTCATGCAGATGTATAAAGAGTGAAGAAAACTCTCAGACATGCGATTAGAGTTAGGAGGCAGCTGTTATAAGCAGAGATTTGATGAGGGAAAACAATGTATCAAGCCTGGATGCTGGTTCAGTCAGGAAATTGATTCAGATTCAGACCTTGCTTCTATCCTGTATTCAGAGTTTTAGTTTATACTTACAGTAGCGGCCAAAATTGTGGAAACCTTTTGGGAAAAGTTTTTTTTTGATGTTTGATGGCTAATAACACCACTTTCTTTTTGGAGTAGTACCATAAAATTATATATCAATGGAAAGATAATTTAATCAAGAATGTAATGCAACATAGTTTGTTCAATTATCTGTACTGTATTCTATGAAAAGTTATAGCCAAATAATCAGAAAAAGGAAGCACAACTTGCTTAGGTTGATATCAGATAGCTTTCCTTCATCTGATTGTAGCCAATGAGCATGAGTGTTTAGAGAGTCAATCAGGTGTCATCTTGTTTTGGCAATGAGCCAATCAGATCACAGTAAGATTCAGTTATTGATGTCATGTATTGAAGCTGAGAGGAGGATATTTGTCAGTGTGTTATGTGATCGCTATCAAGTTGGTTGGGGTTTTTTGTGTTCTTTCATTTAGTGAGCTTGTAAAACGTAATAAAATTAAAGTAATGGTGCAAAGAATTGACTGGTTGCCCAGAAAGCGATGTAAAATAGTATTATTAAGTGAACAAGGCTACAGTTATAAAGAAATTAGAAGAACAATTTCTAGTGTACACTTTTCCCAAAAGGTTTCCACAGTTTTGGCCACTTCTGTATACAGGTAGCTGTCGACTTACAACACTACATTTAGCGACCATCCGAAGTTACAACAGCACTGAAAAAAGTGACTTACAACCACTTTTCACACTTATGACCATTGCAGCATCCCTATGGTCATGTGATCAAAATTCAGACATTTGGCAACTGACTCATGTTTATGATGGTTGCAGTGTCCCGGGGTCATGTGATCATCTTTTGCGAACTGCTGACAAGCAAAGTCAATGAAGCCAGATTCACTTAACAACCGTATTACTAACTTAACAACTGTGGCAAGAAAAGTCGTAAAATGGGGCAAAACTCATTTAACAAATGTCTCACTTAGCAAGAGAAATTTGGGGCTCAATTGTGGTCGTAAGTCGAGGACTACCTGTATTTAAAAAAATAAATCCCAGTAAAGTTATTGGGACCTATATTCTAAAGCAGAACTGCAAATCTGGACACTTTTCTAATGTAATGTTTTTCCCAATGATTTAAAACTGCAGATCTATAGAAAAATTCTTCAGTATCTTTTTTTTTTTAAAGTGACATTTGTCAAGGAGATCTTTTCTGGCTGTCTTTATGTTTTAAAGAAAGCTTAGCGCACACATTTTGTGCTGATAGACCTTTTATCGAGAGATTCCTTCTGTTCTCTGAGCCTTCTGAGATTACAGTCTACAATCTTATTTTGTTTCAAGGTGAGTCCAGGAGATGACAGAGATGGGAGGAAATCTCTTTCTAAGATAATTGAACAATGCTGTACAGGATAGTTTAAAGAATGCTAGAAAATCACTTTATTGTTTTGGTAAATGGGAAAAGAGAAGGAGGAAGGAGTATTAGGTATGTTTGCCACCTTAAATTATTTAAAAATAATAATAAAAGGCTGGAAATCTCTTTCTCTCTCTCTTTTCCTTCCTCCTTCCAGGAGACCATGGGGGAATTCTATAACATATTTATTGCCTTCATTATGTTGGGCCGGCAACTCATTGCGTTGTAGACTCATTTTTATATCTGCAATATGGGAATAATATACCAGATCCATACAATAAGAAATTTGTTGATCAGACAAGTACTGTGCAAAGATGATAATTAAGTATGATAAGGACTAAAGTCCAGGTGTATCATTTTTTCTCCTTATGCTTAGGCGTGCAAAATCCCCCCTTCAGTTATTGAAGCAAAAATCTCTTGACATCTCCTCATAAATTTCTGAAATACTTTCTTTAGCTTGTACCAAAGGGCACAGTGGAACAAAAGGTATTGCTTGACTGAGAGAAAAAAAATGCTTTTTGATTGCATTTGCTGATTCAACTGTAGAACAAAAAAATACACAAAGTCTTTCTACTGATGTTATCTTCAATTATAAAATGATAAAAATAGTCTCAGTTTAGTTTATAACAGAGTATTACGTTGACCCCTCCCCCAAGAGTATAAGTAAAGTAAAATCCTCAGGGGAAACTAAATATTACATAAACCAATGTCTATGGAGATTCTCAGTCATCCAGGTTACGGTTGTCCCAAAGATGCTTTTTCAAAAGGCAACCGGACTTTCTTGGTTTTTGCTTGAAGATGTTTTGTTTCTCATCCAAGAAGCTTCTTCAGAACTTCTTGGATGAGAAATGAAATGTCTTCAAGCAAAAACAAAGAAAGTCCAGTTGCCTTTTGAAAAAGCACCTTTGGGACATGATGCCAGTTAACAACAACAATCACAACCTGTCTCAAAATTATTGGGTGTTCTGCCACTGTTGGATTCAAACACTAGATTAGACAGCACTGGAATTGGGAATGTTCATTCTCTGAACTTAATATTTCTAGCTTTCAGTTAATATTCTCCCATAAGTAGAGTTGTGAGGGGCACAATCAGGGCAACAAATGCTGAACGCAGAGATTTAGATATAGCTTAGTGTACTAGACTGTGCTTTTGGGCCACACGTACCTTGTCTCCTTTCATGAAGAACTGAAATGTTGGCACAACGACAATATTGCAGAGGACGGCTACATCCTGTTAAAGAGAGATCAACTCATATGCCATAAAGTCCTAGAACTCTTTCAGATATGTTACTTTAAAAAAAAATTGTAATAAAAACAGGAAAGAAAAAGGGTATATACAGCCTCTTGAGAGCTGCATAAAATATTCCCTAATGTTGAGGTCAGCTTGAATGAACACATTTGATATGGTTAAATAATTGCCTTTGTGCTATGTTAAAGGTCTTTCCATGTGTGTCCAATCACACTTGGCCAATAAAAAATTCTATTCTATTCTATTCTATTCTATTCTATTCTATTCTATTCTATTCTATTCTATTCTATTCTATTCTACACCTCTACTCTACTCTGCTCCTATTCCTATTCCTATCCTATTCCTATTCCTATTCCTGTTATTCAGCTCCCAGTATTACCCAACCAGTTGAAGTCCATACGTCTTAAAAGTTGGTAAGATTGAGAAACCCTGGCTTAAAATGTTGTTTAAGATTGAAAGAAGTCACTTTGCAACTGATGAACATTTGTGTACTCAATGATTAGGATTCTGCTAAGCCTAGCACACACCTTTGTTGGGATTGGCTTGTTGGTAATATTGTAGGTTTAGATGACATCAGCTCTGCAATATAACCTAGGGTTAATAGGATTTTTTGATATTGCTGCAAACATGATTTTATAAAAAGAGTTAACAAAAGGACATTTCTAACTGGGAGCTGTCCAGTATTAGGAGGTTCCTGTTCTGAAGGACCGTATGGTCAGTGTTTTGCAGGATTCCTTAATTGGACTACCAAAGCCTGTTCTGGCTGTCAGGTTCAGGATTTGCTTTCATTCAACGTTCCAAGGACTGATTATCTCCCTTTAGTAGTGTTTAGTTGGGTTAGAATAACTGAGGATAACCAAGCAGTTAAGATTCTAACACAGATGTTTCTATCTGTTGCCCTCTAAGAACAAGAAGTTGTTGTTGGTTTGGTTTGTTCTCCGGACTTGCTGTTTAACTTCCAAATGTTTCTTCACCAGGCTAGGTAACATCCTAGACTTCGGTTGAAGTGTCTTCTTTCAGTTCTTCTCTACTTTTACTGATCTCATGTGATCATGTGGTCAGTGGGTCATGTGATCGGCTGGTCATGCCATGTGACATGCTATGTGATTGGCTGGTGATGTTGTGTGAAGAGTGGTCAGTGCCGTTGTTCATTGGTCTCTTGATTGATACAGCTCCTTATGGGTTCGTAGGCTTCCTCAGAAATCCCACTGAGGATGTTAGCTAGCCTGGTGACGAAACATTTGGAAGCTAAACAGCAAGCCTTGAGAATAAACCACCAACAAAGTCTACCACCCGAGCTACACATATTTTCTATCATTTCTAAGAAGTTAGATTAGAAGTTTCATCATCCTAACTAGGACTGCAGAAAGCTGCTCAAGGAGGCATCTACTCCTTGTGGATTGAGGTACTCACTTCTGCTAAGTCCACATCAACAATACAGAATAGGACATTTTCATATCGAACAGCCAATTCCTTCAAAACAAAAATGGAACAAAATTTAGATATTAAATGTGATATAATTCCACTTGGTTTTTTTCTCCTTCCTCTTACAATATAAAGTTGTACCTCTAAGAGAAAAAAAATGAAGAGTTACAAAGACAATGGATGAAATGACACAATGAATTTCAAGATATTGAAACAAGGATTTTGTTTATTTAGAATGAAATTATTGCTTCATGGGGTGAAAGATAGATGTGTGATTATTTCAACCCATAAAGACCTTTATGACTTGGTGTCCTATTAATTGCAGGATACCATCTTCCCATGAAACTTTGCCTGACTACTTTGTGCTGAAAAAAAACAGAGGGCTATCCCCCATTGTTGAGAGGTTAGGGGGCTGAAATCTAGAAATCTGTTGTTTTTCTGTGATGAGGCCAGCCCTTTGAATTGATCTCTCATTTAAGTTTTATTCATCCCTAACATTATATATTATAAAATATTGTGTTTGATATTCTTGTGCTCCATTATTAAGGTGAGCTGCCAAGAATCTTATAATTAGGATAGGATGTGAATCTGATAAAAATATGCCTTTCATCCAGATCATGACCATAACACATCAGACATCATAAATATATGATCATTCTCTCCTCAACTATGAATCAGTTCCTCTGCACAACATTTTAAAGTAGTATAAACAAACCAAAAAGCCATAAATAAACCTTATTGATTAAATTAGTTGGGTTTCCAAATATTTTAAGCTGTTGTGATTTAGCCTATTGGATGACGAGTGCTTAATTGGTTAATATGATGACCTGCAGAACATGAACACTTCTGAAGATGACTGTGGATCACTGGAAATGCAGGCCTTGTATATACCTAAATGTTTTGTGAGCTTTAGCATGGGGACAAGATGGAATTCAAGATGTAGTCAGCCATGACTCTGAAAAATAATTCCCTGGCAGTACCTTCTGAAATCATTTTCAAAGAAGAACAAAGTCCAGTCCCAAGCAGGCACTATTGAAAGTGAATATGGGATCAAGGAAAACAGCTTTAAAAATTAAAATCTTATGCATAATAGATTTGCTCAGGCATTCACCACTACCTTCACTTAGATGGCGGGTTGGTCATGCTAGGAATCTTGTGGTCAGGGATTGTGTTTGCGTGTTGGTGTAGCAGGAGTCAAAATAAAAGCTATTAAAATTGGATAACCTCTAAATCTCTTAATTCTTTGAATAAAATGATTCTATACATTCTATATGATATGGGCAAGGGTCCCTTTGTTTTATGGAAGAAGTACAAGAATGTCTATTCTCTGGCTGTTCAAGCCCTACTCCCATGTGATGGAATGAGTTCCTGTCACTTGCCTCGGCTCCTACCAATCTAGCAGTTTGAAAGCATGTAAATGCAAGTAAATAGGTACCACTTTAGTGGGAAGGTAGCATTCCATGTTTCACTGCACGCTCTGCGCTATGGTGTGATGTCATGTTGGCCACATTCGGACAGTGCTGGCTCAATGGCCTAGAAATGGAGGTAGAGCACCACCTTCTAAAGTTGGCTATGATTAGCGGAGTAAAATCTGCAGGGACTCCTTTATCTTTTACAAGAATGCCAACTCTGTGACAGCTCTGTATCCCATATTGGGCTTAATACTTTCTTGAGAGATCTATGGCTGAAGTTGCTTGCTTGGTTCACCTTACTGCTGGAAAAGCAGCAGATAATCAACTTGTCTTAAATACTTCAGCCAAATCATCCAAAGGATTTTATATTTTGATATATTAAAATAAAACATCTCTTCTATAGGTGCTCTCCTTAAAGCCCACTGTTGCATTCCTAATCTTTTACTCTCTATTTACTGTACAGGTAGTCTATATCTGATGCCTTTCTTGAGTGTTATCCTTGAGTACCTATAGCTATGACTCAGATATGAAGAGAGGTTTAGCATCAAGTTGTATTGTGCTAAAAAGAAACTAGGATAATGTACACATTGGCAATAGTCTTGCACTGTTCTTGTATCTCCCTCTTCTCTTTTGTTAAGTTCAAGGAAGAGAACAGCTCCCATCCTATGCTGGGAAAATTATTGCTTTTGAATTGCTGTCATTTGCACGTTTGTTAAAAATGACCTTAGGTTAAAGTCTCCCTCAAATTTAGTTCGATTCCCAGAAATTACAGGGACTCCCCCAGGTTGTTTTCTTGGTACAACACATAAGTTGCTTGCAATTGACTTCTTGTAGGATTTTTAAAAAACACCTTCATTGCTGTCATTCCAACTAGATATGCTTCCACTGATTTTGGTGAGCGTCCACATAGGCAAACAATTATCTCTTCTTCCCTATCCCCACTCGTGCTCCTGTAACTTTGCCAAATTAAAAAAAAAATAGTTTTCTTTGCCATATAGCTTTTAAAAGGGGCTCTATAAAGGTATGGAATGGATGGTCCAGATGAACAAAATACTGTCCTTCTCATCCCTGGTCTTGACTCCATCATGCCATATCAAATAAATGTCTGAATTACAGTACAGAGAATATGCACTATTTCCATTCACTCACATTAGGGTTATTTTTGTTCAGATTGTTACTATAACAGCATCAAGGGTTAATGCCTCTGTACCCAATGATACAAAAAGACCAAGGAATTTACAATCTGATGCTAGAGTGGGGAGTGAGGGAGGACAGAAATATGAATTAAGAGGTTCAAAGAGAGACAATAAGAATCCATATTTTGGGGAATGTGTTTCCAGCAAAGGGAAGAAGGCCAAGCATGCATAGACATGTGGCCCTAACCATGTTGCCAAAAAAGATGAAATGTATGCCACAATGTCATAACATGTTTTATTAGTCCTGCCTCAACAGGACCACTTATGCAAAGACACTGACCCTTGGCAAGGCAGTTTCAATCAATTGCTCTGACCTAAAAAAGGATTATTGTCTTTTCCATTATCATGTTGATATTTACAAATAACTGCTCATGATTTACTTTGGGAGCATCTATATATTGAAGAGAGTTTCTAAATAATTGTAATAAATCAAGTATGTAAATAAAAATAATAAACTTAGCAAGACACGGATGTGAGCAAATGCAGTTGTATTTAGGCTTCATTTAACTTGTGAGGAAGAACAGAAGCTTGAGGAAGGAATCTAAGCAACCAGTAGGAAGTACATTTTAGAATGTCAATGGGAGGGGAAAGAAAAGGAATGATACAGGATTTTAAAAAAATCTTTTCACTTACATAAAGAAAAGGACGAACAATTTTGCAAGGCCCACACCATTTTGCTGTAAAGTTCACCACAACAAGGCGGGGTCCTGCGCTCTTGAGAAATTCCGCAAATTCTTTCTGTTTGGGAAGCAAGTGCAGAAGCAATCAGCAGTTAAAAACTTCACACAGTGTGAGAGATGAAGAATGCCAAAGGACTGATTCTTTTTGAGAGAACAATTTTCCTCACAAATTAAGCATACCTTTATTTATAATTATTTTTCATATTATATTAAATCTCATTGTTTATGGGGGCGCAATGGCTCAGCGGTTAAAGAAGCTGAGCTTGTCAGCAGGAAAGCTGATAGCCTGGGTTTGAGACCTGAGTGTCGTGGGATGGGGTGAGCTCCTGTTACTTGCCCCAGCTCCTGTCCATGTAGCAGTTCAAAAGCATACAAATGTGAGTAGATAAATAGGTACCACTGTGGTGGGAAGTTAACAGTGTCCTGTACACCTCAGCCAGTGGTGGGATTCAGCCAGTTCGCACCACTTCTAGCTAATTTTTTGTTGCCCAGGCCCAGAATGGACTTCCAGAAGTGGCATCCACACAGAGAACCGGTTGTTCACATATTTGAATCCCACCATTGACCTTGGCATATGGTTATGCTGGCCACATGACCATGGAAGCATCTTCAGACAATGCTGGCTCCCTTGGCTAACAAACGTAAATGAGCCCCACCGCCCTAGAGTCGGACACAACTGGATAGGGGAAATCTTTACCTTTACTCATTGTTTATAGAGCTGTAAATATGAGCTATTTGTAAAATGAGTGGTTCTTACTGGTTTAAGAAAATTAAAATTGTTTAAAGCTGCTTTATCCAACCATGTCCCTCTTAAGGATGCAACTCCTTAGCTCATCTAGTTCACGATTCAGTTAATGCTGAATTAATGTTTCAAGTGGAAGTTTTTCCATTCCTACATGGAAATTTTGGGGATTGTATTGCTCATGTTTAGTAGCCATCTCAATTTAAAATCCTTTCTTGGTTTATCTGAGAATTTGAGTGTTCTCTGCAAATTGGTGTGAGTTAAGAGCATCCTCAATCAGCTCATAGCTTCAGAAAGATGCCACCAAGCTAAAAAACTTCTCCAGGTATTGGTGAGCTTAGATTTCTACCCAGTATCAAACTGAATCTATAGCAATTTATATTGAAATACTTGCCTTATTGTGCATTTTTGGCAACATTGTGACTGTCTCCAAAAAACTCACTTAATACTTCTTTTCTTTTCTCACTGCTATTCATCTCAGAATGATTCGAGTAAAATCAGGTTGACAGGATGCTATTGTGACATAGTAAAGTATGTCATTCATGGCTCTTTCAATATTCAGATAGCTGTGGAGTTTGCCTAACTACATGCCTATTAGAGAGGAACTTGAAATCCAAGTGAAGCTTTACAAGAACTCTATCCTCATGTTCTTGGATAATGTTCATGGACTGTAGTAGGCTGGATTTCCAAGAGGAAGGGGGGGTGCATTCCAGAGGAATAAGAGAAATTCACTCCAGATTGTGTGTGAGAGAAAGAGGGGGGGGGAATATACCATCCGTAATAGGTCTCAGAATGTATGGTAGATGCAGATCGTAGAGTGCTTCAGTTTGGCAAGATTCTGTCTATAGGTGTGGAAACAATAAAGAACTCAGCTTGGAAGAATCACAGATAAGGTGTGTTTCGGCCATCATTAGTGCTCAGATGTGGAGTTGATTTTTTTCCAATGGCTTTTCTCAACCTTTATTTCCACCTTAACTTCTTAGTTTGCATGTGCCATGCTGCGCTTAGAGGGCATAGAGGTGTAGCTAATAAAGTGTTCATAGATATAATAAAGCATCTTATATCCAAATGTAAGGTTGGTATAGCTAGCGATCCTCTTCCTTTAATTCCTGGGTTTCAAGCTTTCAGATACCAGAGATCAAAGCAGGAACTCGACAGTCAGGTAATATTCTGCTTTTTAATATTCCCCCAAATATTTCTTTCTGGGAGGGGAGGTGCTGTCCTCCTACAGGTGTTTCCTTTTAATTCAATGGATGATTACACAAAAGTAATATGGCTGTATTTTTTTTTATATTCTCATTTCAATTCCATCCAACATGTCACTGAAAGACTGACTTCCTTTCTCCCTTCCTTCCCATTAGGTTTGGAAGCAAGTTATGACCCATAGAAATAATACCAAATGGCACAGAGAAGAAACCTATAATTTTTGCAATTAATTTGTCCTAAACAATCATGATCTTGGTGTGAAGCATTCTTTGTCATAATCTTCATATTTTGCAAGCCAGAAAGCCTAGAAATAAATTAAACAGAAGAACATTAAGTAAAAAGTACAAAATTTATAAGCTCAGTTCTGAGTGGACAGACTACACTACAGTATAGTCACTGCTTTATGTATAATCCACATGATGCTAGTTCCTGATGATGTAATGCTGAAAATTACTCAAATAACACAAATTTAAAATAAATACAATGGGTTCTAATATCTTTTGGCTATTTATATTAAAAAAAATGTATTTTTAACTGAATTGTCTTGATGATTGTTCATTGCCCAGAGTCACTGGTTTGAGATGTGCAGCTATACAAATTGAATAAATAAATATAGCCAGCTAGTCAATTTTTCAGTCTTGAAAGTGCACTATACAATCATGTCTGTATGCGTGAACGGTCCTTTAAGTCAATGTTAAGTGCCTGGATTGGTCCCAACAGGTTTTTTGGAAGATTTTTAGAAATGATTTGCCCTCATTTCCTTCCTAAGGCTGAGAGGGAGAGATTGGCCCGAGGTCAACCAGCTGGCTTCCTGCCCAAGGCAGGACTAGAACTTACCATCTCCCAGTTTTTGGCCGAGTGTCTTAACCACTATATCTATACCCTCTTCATGGCATACGAATAGGATGAGGAAAATACAATTTGAAATCAGATTGCAATTCAGTATGAAATCTATCCAAGAATACCGTTTTGCTTTGCATGTTTATGAGTTTTCAAAAGCATTGATGTCAGGTCAAGTGGTATTATTATTGGCTGGATATGGTGGAACTTAACAGGCCTCACAGGAAACCAGAATTTTCTTTAGAGACTAAAATGAGAGCCAAATGCAACAGCAGCTTCAAAAAAGGGATTTTCCTCAGGCTTATAACGAGGCAGGAAAAGGTTATTTATTTCTGTGTGCCTCCTGCTTCTTGGATAATTATTTGTCATTTTAAATGTGGCTCTGATTATACTGCAGGTCTGTAGTAAGTAAGTTATTGGAGTAAGTGATTACTCGCATGGATCTTCCCTGCCTCATATCTGTGGTCCCTGCAGCCTCCCAAAATCCATCGTACAATTCACCCAGATTTTTCCACGCTACAATTCTATTCCCTCCCCCCTACCAAATGCCTTTTCCTTTGCAGTTTTTCAGACCCCTTGTTGATTTTTGGGGCCCACCTATCTAGTCCACTACCCAGTCATAACTGCTTTCTAGCTGTTTCCACAGGAAAACTAGAGTCTGCATGGAACGGAAGCATGTCCTGGTATTCCCCCCCCCCCCAGCTCCTAAGTTTGGGATTCAATCGCTTTGCTTGTGGCAGAGGAATTCAGTCAGGTTTCAATTTTGGAATGTTCCACGCTGAAATCAAAATGTGCTTATATGGCGTGTGTTTTGAGCTCAGCACCAAAAAGGCCTGGTTTTTCCCCCCCTCCCAATTCTCCAAACAAAACAAGACTATTTAAGCAGCACTATTTAGATTGATCCAGCTGTTCTGAGGGCTGCGATTACCATGTTAGTTTATTAATTAGTTTATTAAGGAACCGTTGCTGGAATTGAGTATGTCTAGTTTAATGAAGAGAAGGACGAGGGGGGACATGATAGCAGTGTTCCAATATCTCAGGGGCTGCCACAAAGAAGAGGGAGTCAAGCTATTCTCCAAGGCGCCTGAAGGCAGGACAAGAAGCAATGGATGGAAACCAATCAAGGAGAGAAAAGCAACTTAGAACTAAGGAGAAACTTCCTGACAGTTAGAACAATTAACCAGTGGAACAACCTGCCTGCAGAAGCGGCGAATGGTCCAACACTGGAAGTTTTTAAGAAGAGACTGGACAGCCATTTGTCCGAAATGGTATAGGGTTACCTGCCTGAGCAGGGGGTTGGACTTGATGACCTCCAAGGTCCCTTCCAACTTTATTATTATTATTATTATTATTATTATTATTATTATTATTATTATTATTATTATTATTATTACTACTACTACTACTACTACTACTACTACTACTACTACTACTAATAATAATAATAATAATAATTATTATTATTATTATTAATATGAATGCTTTTCTTACACATTTCTCAAGATGGGGCTGGCTCCATTTCTTCCACTGCAACCGACTGAGACAGGAGTGGGACGGCAGGGGGGCACAGGTGAGAGATAGAGGCTGGTGGGCTCTTGTCACCAATTTGCTTGGGTTAGATTGGAGGTTGGANTAATAATAATAATAATAATAATTATTATTATTATTATTAATATGAATGCTTTTCTTACACATTTCTCAAGATGGGGCTGGCTCCATTTCTTCCACTGCAACCGACTGAGACAGGAGTGGGACGGCAGGGGGGCACAGGTGAGAGATAGAGGCTGGTGGGCTCTTGTCACCAATTTGCTTGGGTTAGATTGGAGGTTGGATCTGGCATTCCGAGGTGATTCTAGATGTCTGGGTTGCAACCATAGGTATTGAAGACTGCTTCCACTTTTCCATTTGCTGGTCAGTAGATATAGTTTTTCTATGGAAATATGCTGTAGTAGATCATGCAGAGATCTCCAAACCTGGCAACATTAAGACTTGTGGACATCAACTCCCAGAATTCCTCAGCCAGCCATACTGGCTGGCTGAGGAATTCTGGGAGTTGAAGTCCATAAATCTTAAAATGGCCAAGTTTGGCGACCCTCAAGTTACAGCATTGTTTCATTATGGAAGGAACAGCCCTTGAACACAAAAAGGTTTACAGTAGCCAGACACCAGAAGAATTTCTAAGAAAAGGTGGCAGGAAGCTGGAAGTTAGGCTAGTCTCTCCAATGCTTCAATCCAGACTGTGAAATTTGGCCCGATGGAACAAAATCAATTTGGAATATTTCACGGGGCATTTCACTCTTGTAATATAAATTCATCAACATTCTGGCAATATTTGAAAGACATTTGCTGCATCATGGGCAGCTTTTCATACCTCTGTTAGAGTTAGAAAGAGAGAAATTACATCTTGTTTCATGTTTTCATCAATTAATCCTCTACTGTTGGAGAAGCTAAAATTTGGAATAGTCATCTTACTATAGCTGTCATGAGAAAATGTCCCAAGGTAATGTTTTAAATTTGAAGCAAAATTTTGACTTTTTTTTTGACAAAAGCTGTAGCTTGCGGAGTGTAGCATGTGGATGTGTGCAATGGGGATGGAAGAAATAAAAACAGGCTCCATATCAATTAATCTGAGTAAGCTGTTCAGCCAAGATCATAATAAAAGTAGTCCTCAACTTACGACCTCAACGGAGCCCCACATTTTTATTGATAAATAAGACATTTGTTAAGTGAGTTTTGTCCCATTTTATGACCTTTTCTGCCACATTTGTTAAGTGAATCACTGCAACTGTTTTAAGTTAGTAACCCAGTTGTTAAGTGAATCTGGCTTCCCCATTGACTTTGCTTGTCAGAAGATCGCAAAACGGGGGGGGGGGTGTCACATGACCTTTGAGCACTGCAACAATCATAAATATAGGTTAGTTGCCAAGCATCTGAATTTTGATCACGTGACCATGGGGATGCTGCATCAGTTATAAGTGTGAAAAATGGTCATAAATCATTTTCAGTGCTGTTGTAATTTTGAACAGTCACTAAACGAACTGTTGTAAGTCGAGGACTACCTGTATATACACCCGTTATTTTTTCTGATGTTTACACTCTCCTATAGGTCTGTGAATTTTAACTCACCTTTGCTTACTGCCATGTAATTTATATCTGCCACATCCAAAAACTAGAAAGTGAAAATTATTATTTATTACATTTTTATACCCATCTCCCCTATATTATGACTCTGGGCAGTTTGTCTCAGTAAGGCTTTTTTTTTAAATTATGAGACTACTGGAAACAAACAATACTGTTAATATTTGTAGGCCACATAGGAACGTTAACATTTTGAGTATTATGGGGGCCTTCACAAAATGACTGCCGTGATGGGTGTGGCCAGTGCTTTTTTTGTCATAGAATTCACCGGAACAGAGTTCCGGCACCTTTTTTTGACAGATTTTCCAAGTTTTAAAAGTAAAATTTGATGTTTGGTCCATGTGAACTTGAATCGCCCTGTCGAGCAAGGCAGGTCGGTGGCAAAATTATTAAAACAGCACATGTGGGCTGCTTGTATGTCGAGTCCGATGCATGTGTACTTCATCCGGCTGCTCGGCTTGTGGCACTGCTCAGCTTGTGATTGGTCATGTGGTCACACACTGAGTGCTTACTGTGGGCGGTGACAATTATATTTCGTTACACAACTAACGTGTGTAGGTGTGTGTACAGTGATTGACTATGTGTGAAAGGTAAATAAAAGATTAACAAGATTTGAGTTCCGGCACCTTTTTTCTTACAAAAAAAGCACTGGGTGTGGCCCATCACAACACATCCACTTCAGAACAATGGTTGATGCTGAAAGATGGTATTTTCTTGCCAGAGATTTGGAATCCAGAAAAAAAAAGTAAACTTTAATTCAATTAAAAATTCAATTCTCATACTTTATATGCCAGAGACAACATTTTTGTTCAGACATTATCCCCAGCAGTAAATTCTAATTGTTTTTAAGAAGTCTGGACAATTGAGATTGTTTACATCATTTGTATCCATTTATATCATTTGTACAGTGATATAGAATTATAGTTAACTCAGCTTATCTAAATGACAGAGGCAAATGATTACCACTCAAAGCCATTTGGAACAATACCGCATGAAAATATCAATAACACATAGATGATTTTAATTGACCAAATGAAGTAATTGTTATAGTTAACAATTCACTTCACTTCCGAATCTGTGTAAAATTGGCAAAAACCAAACTTCAGCACACACACTATTTTTCTATACTTCTTTTTCAGGATTATCATCTCACAAATAGAATATTCCCTGTTTTCTACCTCACATTCCAGAGTAGATCCATTTGCTTCTCTTCCATTTATGCAGCTTCTCCCTTTTCCCATTCATTTTCTAACTTACCACATAGGCTTCCCCAATCCTTTCTGTTGCTTTTGGTAGCTCCTGTCAGCCTAAAGGCCAATTACCCTTTTCCCCACTGACCACATTTTTCCAAACCCAGTTGCAATTTCCTTTCTTCGGCTCCTTTTTGCTCCTCTCTTGAGCACCTTTCCTCCCCACACCTTTTTCTCATATCCCAGACCATTTCCAGCTGCTAGCTGGTTCATTCACATTACCGCCTGCAGGCTTCTCCCTTCTTCTGGACCAGAGCATTTGAAAACCCAGGCCTAGCTTCTCACATCTTGCCATCTTTGGGAATTACCCTTGGATTATGGCTACCGCAGGTTGTGCACTCAAGGGCGGTCCTTCCATACAGATAGTCCTCGACATACAACAGTTCATTTAGTGACTGCTTGAAGTGTCAATGATATTGAAAAAAAGTGACTTATGACCATTTTTCACACGGCCACTGCAGCAGTGCCCCTTGGTCACATGATCAAAATTCAAATGCTTGGCAACACATTCATATTTAGGACGGTAGCAATGTCCCAGGTCATGTGATCATCTTTTGCAAACTTCTGAGGAGCAAAGTCAATGGGGAAGCCAGATTCACTTAACAACCATATTACTAACTTGACAACTGCAGCGATTCCCTTAATAACTGTGGCAAGAATGGTCGTAAAATGGGGCAAATTTTACTTCACTGTCTGGATTAGCAACAGAAATTTTGGGCTCAGCTGTGGTTGTAAGTTAAGGACTACCTGTAATGTAGCCACTGAACTTTGTGCACCAGGTCAGATGGATGGCATAGCACAATTCAGGACGTTACATGGGAACATGATGGATGCACCCCATCCTAAACTCTTTGTTTTCTATTGCTGTGTGAGTTACAGAGCTCTGTCCTGTTGTAACCCTTTCCAAGAGTGCTGCACTCCCCACTGTTCAGTGTAGCCTTGCTGACTCTGTTCTACTCATCCTTTCCTAGGTCTCCATTATTTTCCCCTCAATAATTGATCGGCTACTGAGAAGGCTCCGTCTGCACCACATGCGCTTTCATTATTTTTTTTTTTACCCTAAAGGTTTCATGAATTTTGGCAAACAATGGCATTGCCATTTCTTCTATTCATGAGTGCTAATTTGTCTGCACAATGTTCCTGACTTGCTGAACAGGTTTGCTGTTGAGTATATGGGATTTGTACTTTTAACGCAAACTAACTTGTGCTTTAATAGTTGTACAATACGTAGAGATTAAAGGAACCCAGATAGAAACCAGGAAACTAAGTTCTAGTCGTGCCTTGGGCATAAAGCCAGCTGGGTGATTTTGGGCCTGCCACTCATTCTCAACCAGAGGGGAAAGCTGACAATGGTAAATCATTTCTGAAAATCTTGTTGAGAAAATTGCACCTTCCACCAGCAAAGCTTGCCAAGATGTTCCAGAACAATTCGCCAACATGTTGGAAATGTAAAAAATTACATGGAACATATTATCATTTATGGTGGGCATGCCCAGTTGCGAAAAAATACTGGACTAAAATAAAATGGATGGAAGAAATAATAGACCAACCCATAGACTGGAAACCAGAGATCTTTTTGCTGGGTATTTTAAACAGAAAATATAGTAAAGAAACACGGTACTTAATTCTACATATAACAACGGCAGCAAGAATAGCATACGCACAGTTCTGGAAAAATGAGAATATACCATCAGAGGAAGAAGTGATAAGAAAAATCCTGGACTGTGCTGAGATGGACAAATTAACAAAAGAGATAAAAGAAAAGGAAGACACAGAGTACTATCTAATATGGAACATGTGGTATGACTGGTTGGAGACTAGAAATAATAGAGGAGAATAAATGTGGAAAGGTTAAAAGTGGAAAATGTGTGTATAATGCATAGTAATAATAATATGTATTATTCTTAGTATGAAGTATAGTATGAAGGAAGAAAAATGCAAATAAGAAATAGCGGGACAACAAGGACAAATATATCTAAAGAAGAATAAGGGTGAAAAATGTAAATAATAGATTACCATTACGAAATTGCTGTTAAAAAAAAGGAGTAGTATACACTGTGTATGTGTGTTTTGTTTTGTTGGTTTAAAAAATAAAAAAAATTATATATAAAAAGAGAAAATTGCAGGGACTCGTCCATGCAATTAGCAGGAATCAGATGCACACACACAAAAAGTACTGTACTCTACTTGGGACACACCTGTTGCCCCAAGAGCAATTAATGTTAACCAGTCATCCTTTACACCTTTTTGGCAGGCTGGTTATGTTAAGTCTTGTGCTGCAGTTTTCAGGCTCTAATAACCAGAAATGCCTGGGCCTGTACAAAATGGCTCAGGACCAACAAGGCGTTTTTCCCCACGGAAACATAGCGATTCATCTTGTCCTTTCAAATCCTGGTGATGACTTGTGTCTGCTCTACAAGATGCTCTGGGTCACATCAAGGCTCTGCTTTGGCAGGTTCGGTAGCTGAGGCAAGCACAAGAGCATTTTTGAACTACTAAAACTGCCACTGAAGGAATGTCCAGTGAAGCAACTTGGCTGCTTCACTTTTGAATGGGGGTGGGGGAGCACTCTTGTTCACAAAGCAGTTTTATGGTCGAGCTTCTGGTAGCATCTTGGACTGGAAGTGGTAAATCCCAAGAACAAGTCTCTTTCTCCTGTCTCTGATAAGCAGGATTTATGAAGAAGAAAGTTAAAGGAACAAAACATGAATCCCAGCAAACATTCTATAGTATTTTCAAATGAGAAACATATACATATGGGCAAATTCTTGGATTCTCCTAGTGTAGGGGTCCCCAACCCCTGGGCCCTGGCCCACAGTCCATTTGGAACTGGGACGCGTGATTAGCTCAACTTGTGCGAGCGGCAGCTGGCATAGCTTGAGTTGTGCGAGTGGCGGGCCAATCCGCCTCCCTCCTGGGCCGCCAAGCCGTAAAAGTTGAGGACCACTGTCCTAGTGTAAATAGGAGAAGCTTGTTTTTTTTGTGAAGAGGAGACAGACTGCATAGGTTGATTATTTTGGGAACAGCTATGGACTTTTTACCTCACAGACACCCAGCTCTTACACTTTGAAGGTTGCTTCAAAGCACTCCTGTGAAGCTTTGTTCAGTTCTAACAATAGCAGCAGCAGCTAAGAGGGAGGACTAGAAAGGTTCAGGACTTTCTCCCATGCTATCAAATAAGCTTTTTATCCCAGTACCAGAAAGTAGCTACCCAAAGAAGAAACACAAATTAGATTACAGGTACTAAACAGGGTGCAACTTTATTTACAAGGTAAAGTGCATCACATAGAAATTGTTGAAACACAAGACAAGTGGTAACATATATTACAATATATTTTATGTCTTTAAACCGTAATTTAAAAAAGCAATGATTCTTCTTCTACGGATGTAATAAGAACAACAACCTAATTTTGACTCTCTGGCTTTTTCCTTTCAGGCATCACACTTCCTGCCAGCAGAGCTACATCTGGTGGATCTTTTTAGGTCAGACTTTGCACCTTCTATATTAATCCAAATAAATGGGAAAATGTGTGAACTGCTAGTACTGAAAATAAGCAATATGGTTTCATTATTGTACATTATCTTCTATCATTTGCCAGACAGAAACATTTTGGCTCAAAGTACAGCCACTCATACACACTTGTGTATGAATAAGTAGGAAAAGAAGGAATCTTGCAAAGAAAAAGATACCACAGTAACGGTTAATTTATTTTAGAGCTCTTTCCCCATTTTATGAAGATTGTCTTATAGCTGAAATCTTATACATAGTTAACTCAGGATCTGGTCCCCTGGGAGTAGGCCTGGTGAAATGGATTTCTTAGAATGGGCTGCATATATTACAAAGTAATGTAGAATTGGAAGCCTCTTAAAGCTCATTAGGAAGGTAAACTAGCCACTGAAAATGTTATTGCTATATTTTCTGGAAGAGCTTGAATAAGATAGAATGTATTTCAGTTTTAGCAATAGATGCCCTTAGAATGAGTGGAAAAAAACAACCCAATTTCTTATAAGAAAAAATATTGATGGGTTTATTTACTAACTGCTGCTTTGCTAACAAGCAAATTGCTGTCTCTCAGAGGTTTTGCTTTCTGGTTAAAACTATCATACATTTCAATTTCCCTTTTCCTTTTAATTTGGAAAATGCTTAGGAGAAAAAAAAGTTAAGTCTGTTTATTCCTTCTAAATGACTAAAAATCCTTTGCAAGAACTTGAATGTAAAATTATAAACATATGCAAGCATGCCCAAGAAAGGAAAAACACGGATAAATAGCGTCACCATACAAGCTACAATTATTCATTTCTATACTGTAATGCAGCTTCCCCCAAAAAATTGGAAGTGGAATTACAGTGTTGAATCTACACATAGGGCTAGCCCCACTCCACAAAACAAATTATACTAGGGTGGATAGTATTTATAAATACATGTGGTATGCTACAGATATGAATTAATCCCATTTTCTTTATCTGTAAAGATCTGCAGATGTTTCAGTTTGTAGTATTCGCAAAATAATAGAAAAATGTGCAATCTGAACAATTTAAGTATGAATTGTGGCTCCCCCAAACTCAATTATGTGCAAACTGCTGTTTCTATCCCTATCATTCAAACCACAAAACCCCCACAGCATTTGACATATGTCTTTCACTGGAGGCTAGTTATGCTTTGCTTTAAAATGTTCATAATATTTATTTTTTACATTGTGTACTGTAGTAGCTAGTTGTTATACTCTGGGTTTTTAAGCCAAGTAGAGTTGGGCATGGCTAGTACTTGGATAGGAGAACATCTAAAAATGTCAAGTCTCTAACAAAATCCCCAAAGGCAATTGCAAACCACCTCCACGCTGTTGTGAAGAAAAAATTATGTTGATGCAACCCTTAGAGATAGATTGCAAATTCGGAGTGTCTTGTGTCTATCAGCAAGAGACCTCTATGCTGAATAAAAAGAAATGAGTAAGTGCACGAAAGCAAATAATGCAATACAAGGGGAGAAAAAAAAGAGAGGAAAAAGATATTCTTTTTTCAAACCTATTATTTCAGACACTGTCATTATCAAACCTATCAGGAAATCTTCCTCCACAGAAAATTAGCCATGCTATTCCCAGATACACATTTAATGTTATGTCCACCCTTTAGTTTTCGCTTATGGAAAGAGTAACTTTCAACCTGATCTGAAGCCCACAATAAAATTGTTATAATTGAAACAGGGAAAGATAAAGAGAATTGCTTTGAAAACATAAGGTTCCATTTGTGGAAAAAAGGGCTAATATAGATGCATCCATTGTAATATGAATGTACTATCTTACAGGAATGTACTGTCTTACAGTAAAGAAAAGTAAGGGATTTACTTAAGAGGACAAAACACATTAGTTCTCCTTCCTACTTTTCACTTTATCAGCAAGTAAATTATTCTTGGTGGATGTCTCTGGATATAATTATTACAGTATTTAACCACAGCCTAGAATACTATGCTGTCTTTTCAATTGGGACTCAGCGGTTCTTTTCCTGAGAAATAGGTATGTTGAGGAATGTTATTTTAAAAACTTCTTATATTTTAAATCCAGGGTAAAGAACTACTACTTATTAATTTCAGTGGAAATTGGAAGCTATTTGTCCTGTTTTGACAAATGTTGCATTCTGGCAAATATCACGAAATCTGATTTTCACTTTTTTTCATGGGAAAGACAACTACTGTTTTACTTAGTTTGAACTAAGTGGTAATCATGAATGAAGGCAAATATACGTGTCCTAGGATAATGATGCAAAGTTGAATCTGGATCGGTCACCAGGACCAGAGATTTACTCTTCCAAGCTTTCAGACTCATGCTGGAACCCATCATCAGGGAACTTCTTTCTACTGGAACTTCTTTCTACTGAAATACCCATCATCAGGGAACTTCTTTCTACTGGTCTGTTCCGTGAGACGTGCTTATGTGGTGCCTTCCGATTGGCTGATTGCTGGCTAGCAATTGGCTGTTGTTTCCTTCTGCTACCAAAGAGTTCAGGTCTCCTTGTCTGTCTACGACTGATAATCATTCACCAAATCCACATATATTTTAAATATGTATCCATGATAAAATAACAAGTACTTTCCCAGTAAACTTGATTTTAGCATCCAGAAACACATTTTTATAGGCAGTTGAGTCTCTACTGACATATCTCCTCTCTTCCCCATTCTTTTTCCTTCAGATAGCCCACTCACTGGCCTGCATAGAAGAAAACATGGATTGTGCCTCTAATTTATTATTATTTCTATCAAATCTGAAATAATTCCATATTGGCAGCTCTCCTTTAAGCAACAGTTTTCCATGGCATGGAAAAATATCTGAAGTATTAGCATGAGTGGTGGGGTTGTTGGCCTTCATATATTTATTTTGAAAATAGAATATTCTTATTTACCAAGTTCAAACCATTTGGAATGCTGTAAGCACCAGTGGGATGCTCGGGGCGGCACTATAGCGCTGATGGGATGCTTGGGGTCGGGGTGGCATTAGAACCGGCGGGATGCTTTGGGCGGGGTGGTGCTAGTATGGGTGGGATGCTCGGGGCGGCGCTAACGCGAGTGTGGGTACACTGGCCATCTCTTCACGCGGCCCCGTGGCCAAGCAGCTGCGGCCCAATAGTGGGCCAGGGCCCACAGGTTGGGGACCCCTGCTGTAAGCTTCAGATTCCAATTTGTTCCATCAAACAACAGTAACTAAACATTGTCCATCTTGCAACTACTATAATGAAATAGACAAATGGTTTGCAGGAGGTATCTTAGACCAAAACCAGATCTAACAGGGCAATCATTTATTATTCATCTCATTTACTTATAAAGGTATCGGGTATGTTAGTATATAAAAAGATCATGATGGAGAGACTGAATTTTCCCCTTTTCCATGTCTTACCTTTCCTCTCTCTATTTCTGAATTACTTTCAATAGTGGATCCAATAACAGAGAAGAGACCAAGTAGAAGAAGGTTCGATCATAGTTCTTAGTCTAATGTATTCACTTACATTTTCACTTATGTTACATCACTTACATGAGGTGGTAGGGGAAAAGGAAATATGAGTCAAATTAAGTTTCATCCCCAATGCAAGCATCTTTTTTGGCGATGGAACACTTAGACTAGAGTTTTGCACCCATAATATGAAAGACTGTAAAGTTTTCTCTTTCAGTGAACAAAATTTGTACATTTGTGTGTTTGACAGCAGCAACATTTTAGCATGTATCTTTTTGCAAGAGAAAAAAAAACATAAAGATGCTTCCGTTCAAAATTAAATGGTTAAGAAAAATATAATAATAATAATAATAATAATAATAATAATAATAATAATAATAATAATAATAATAATAATAATAATAAAAATTCAAAACAGTTTTTTAAAAAATCCATTATATTTGATTTTACAGTGACTGTAGTACCAATGTCCATTGGATTGGAATCAGACTCTTCATAGTTTTTGCTCTTAAATTAAAAGTGGTGGAATCCAGATTTCCGTTTCCTAGGTTAGTAGACAGCAAAGAAAAGGGGGGAAAAGAGTCCATTATTCTTGGCAGTTTGTGAAATACAAAGAGAAATCTGTGTTGGCTGCATACGGTATATCACAGTGGTGGCGAACTTATGGCATGCGTGCCAGAGGCGGCACTCAGAGCCCTCTCTGTGGGCATGCACGCCATGCCCCAGAGATGGCAACCATCCCTCTTCAACCAGCTGCCCGCTAACTCAGCGAGGTCCCACATGGCCGGATGCATCCCAGCACCCATGCGCTCGCTGGCCTCTGTGTGCAGGGGCTGATGGTGTCAGGCAGCAGCCGCCCCGGCCCGCCTCACCTTGCCCTGTGACAATGGCACCCCCACCCTGCCTCGCCTTGCCTCGCTTCACCCCACAGGACGAGCCTCCTGCCCACCGCCCCACCTGCCAGAGACCCCCTGGATCTCCAACCCTGCCCAGCCCCCACTGGTGGCCCTCCCCATGAGCAACATTGAGGTGATCACGTCCACCTTGGCCACACCCACCCAATCTGCCATGATCACCACAGCCACGCCCACCAATGGGACCACGCCCACCTGGCACCCAGCGATAAATAAGTGGGTTTTGGGTTGCAGTTTGGACACTCGGTCTCTAAAAGGTTCGCCATCACTGGTATGTCACAACCTGTGTGAAGAAACCCAAACAGAAATAGGAACCCCCAAAGGTGCTTTACCAAAAGGCAACTGGACTTTCTTGGTTTTTTCCTTGAAAACGTTTTGCTTCTCATCCAAGAAGCTTCTTCAGTTCTGAAGAAATGAACTGAACTGAAAATTGAAGAAGCTCCTTGGATGAGAAGTGAAATGTTTTCAAGGAAAAAACCAAGAAAGTCCAGTTGCCTTTTGGAAAAGCACCTTTGGGACAATCATGAGCTGGATGATTGAGGATGTCCAGAGACAGAAATAGGAGCTGTGAACACAGTTCCTTATTTTAAGGGAAAATCTCTTTCCACCAAGCTGCAGCCCAGCACATACTCAATTAGTTCCAACCAGATGTTCTGTTCAAAGTGAATACTGAATGGAGCAGAGGTCTGGCTTTAGTTAAATTGGCGTGGGACTAGCATGGCCTAATTTTTGGAATTAATATTGTGGGTAAATTGTAAATTAATTAATAACATGAGTAAATTGTAAATGTAAATTGGAGTGAGACTAGCATGGACTAATTTTGGGAATTAATAACATGGGTTGAAATGAGCTACCGCCAACAATTCAGGAAAATATCTTGAATTAGACTACTCTGCGTCTTGGTTTCAAGGCTTTCTTCAAGTCAACAGATTGTCTGGAGCTGATAGCCATAACTTTATAAACAGTCAGGTCTCCCAGATGTTTTACTGCTAACTAACAATTAATCAATGGAACAACTTGCCTCCAGAAGTTGTGAATGCTCCAACACTGGAAGTTTTAAAAAAAAGATTGGACAACTGTTTGTCTGAAATGGTATAGGGCCGTGGTGGCGAACCTATGGCACGTGTGCCACAGGTGACACGCAGAGCCCTCTCTGTGGGCACGTGCGCCGTCGTCCCGGTCCTAGGCCTTCAGCTGAGTTTTATAAACCCTTTTTGCTTTAGGCCTCCGCCGCCGTGTGCAAAATAAAAAAAAAGGTTCAATCAATCAATCAATCAACTTCTTGCGGGCAAAAAAAAATCTCGCAAAGTTGGAATTGATTGATTGAACTTTTTAGCCCCACCCAATTTGCCGTTACCACCGCAGCCACGCCCACCCAATGGACCATGCCCACCCAATTGGCCACACACACCCAATGGGCCACGCCCACTCGGCACATGATGATACATAAGTGGGTTTTGGGTTGCAGTTTGGGCACTCGGTCTCTAAAAGGTTCACCATCACTGGTATAGGGTTTTCTGCCTGAGCAGGGGGTTGGACTAGAAGACCTCCAAAGTCCCTTCCAACTCTGTTCTATTCTGTCCTGTCCTGTCCTATTCTGGGATAATGCTCAAGTGGGAAATTGCAAGCTAACCTGCAAGACTGGTTGAAAGACACTAAAAAAATGTGAGTTAAAAAAAATTCCTGGTAGGTTAAATATCTCACAAGAAAATGGCAAGTATACCTAGAGCAGTCGTGTTCAGTCCATGGTGAAGTACAATGGCATCGGTTTGGTCGTATACATTTCCCACCATTTAAGCATGGAGAGTGACAAACAGCTGCATTGAAAGATCACAGAGACACATTACTATTTTAGCACAATTAGGGTATGCTCCAATATATGAGATCAATTTTTTTACTGTTTATATACTATATATATTACTATAGTACCTACTAATACTGAAATAGCATAGCTCTTTGTGTTCACCCAATGAGCCAAAATAGCAAAAGGCACTACTAAATGCTGTACAGTACATAAAGTATTTAAGCAATTCATTTGAAGGAAGATATACATATGAGATGAACAGAGTACAGATATGTTTTCATATGCAAATCAAGCTTAAAGAATATGAAGGATGTTAAGAAAAAGATAGAAAAATATGTCATACTGTCGTTACTGAACAAAATTACCTTTGCAGAAATTGAACTTAGCTATGTACTTTTTAAAGATTCTAATTCTTCATAACTTTCCATTTTAAAATCCCTTGTATTTGCCTTTCAAATATCTCGAAGAAACAATATGAAAACACGTATGTTCTTTCAAATACGAATGCAAAATAAATATTGTGGGCACACATGGAATTTTTCAGACAGATAGTATTACTTGGCTTTACAAATAGAAAAAGTTACACATGCAGTAAAATGGTGTCTACATGACAACCTTGTACTACAGTATTAAGTGCCTTTTTTTGGTCCAACTACCGTGTTTTCCTGAAAGTAAGGCCCAGCCCGATAGTAAGCCCTAGTTTTGGGGTGAGGTGCACCCCTAAAAATCAAGCTAGGATGGGGCTGGGGAATTGAAGCTGGCCCACACGCCCCGCACCCACTTACCTTACTGGTAGGACCACCACAGCCAGGCCTCTCACACCCCGACACCTGTCAGGCCGCTGTGTGACTTTGCAGCTGCTTGCCGCCACTTGCGGCTGGACGCCATGTGGCGCATTGCACCATTGCCGTTGCTCGCGGCAGGACGCCACTTGGAGCTTCAGGCCGCTTCTGCTGCTAGCGGCAAGAAGCCGCACAGCGCTTTGGGCCGCTTCTGCTTCTTGTACGCTTCTTGGGCCACTTCTGCTGTTCATGGCAGGAGGCCACATGGTGCTTCGGGACGTTTCCGCTGTGCGAGCAGCAGAAGTGCCCGAAGCGTTGCATGAGCAGCAGCCCGAAGTGCTGCGCGAACAGCAGAAGCAGCCCGAAGCACCATGCGGCATCCTGCAAGCAGCGGCAACGGCGCAATGCACCACATAGCCTCCGGACGCAAGTGGCAGCAAGCGTCCACAGAAGTCAAGCAGCATCGTGACAGGTGTCTGGGTGTGGAAGACCTGGCTGTGGTGGTCCTAATGTAAGACACCCTCCGAAAATAAGACCTGGTGCCTCTTTTGGAGGCAAAAAATATATAAGATCGGGTCTTATTTTTTGGGAAACACGGTAGTTATGACTGAAACAGTATTTCTGAATAGCTCCTACATGAAAAATGTATGTTGCTTGGCCTGTTTGGCTAGGGAGATATCCCTGTGAGTGGTTTGTGATTATAATCACATTTTGTACAGAGAGCTTATTAAGAGAAAGGCTTAAAACTTTCTCCTAAACCACTGATTTCAAAGAATAGTCTGCCTTAAAACATGTAATGCTTGAAAACCAGAGCAATGTATGATAATTATTTCTTCCAAACTTCCAAATAATACAAAGGTAGCAAAGACATGCATCTCCAGAACAGACATGTAAAGATACCGTATTTCCCCAAAAGTAAAAACCTACCCTGAAAATAAGCCTAGCTTGATTTTTGGTGGTGGGCCTAATATAAGCCCTACCCCAAAAATAAGCCCTAGTTTTGGGGTGAGATGAATGCCTAAAAATCAAGCTAGGGCGGGGGTAGGTGGTGGGTGGAGCTGCCCCACGTGCCCTGCACCCGCTTACCGTTGCAGCCAGGCCTCTCATGAATTGACACCTGCCTCATCGGCCCACTTCTTCTGTAGCTCGGTTCTCAGCTGCAGAGGCCTTTCCGGAATGCAGACCGGAGCTCCATTCTCAGCTGCAGAGGCATTTCCTTCAGCCGCAGAAGAAGTGGGCTGGCTGGGCAGGGCTGTCAGTGCCACCGCCGCAAGGTGAGACCATGGAAAAGATACCCTCCTGAAAATAAGACCTGGTGCCTCTTTTGGAGGCAAAATAATAATAATAATAAGACCGGGTCTTATTTTCGGAGAAACACGGTAAAAAGATGGTCCTCATTCAGAGACCTCAATTGGGTCCAGTAATTTGGTCATTAAGTGAATGGTTGCTAGGTGAAATTACAGCTGTGTTTTTGATCTTACTTCTGCTTCGATTGACAAGCTCGCAAAGGTCTTAAATTGAGGAGTGTTCGCAAAGGTTTTTTTTTCCCCCCCCATCAATGTAACTGCAAACATCGCTAAATGAGGACTATTTGTACTGACTGGTTCTTTTTGCTGTTTTTTTTTTCCAGAACTCACTGGTTAAGCTGTTTTGTACTAAAGTGCTATTGGGAGGTTGTAGGAAATTCTGAATTAAACATGCTTACCCTGATGGCAGCGTGAGCCAGTCCATCCAGTTGGGCAATCACACTGATAAGGGGCCACGCATTGACCTCCATTTAGACAATGCAGGATGCAGATGGCTGAACGGGAAAAAAAAGGGGAGTGGGAATGGGAAGAAGAAAAAAAGTTTCATTCAAATAAACAACCCTGGTTCTATTTCTCACAAAACTAGAACAATTATGCCCCCTCTCTCCCCCCCCGGAATCGCCTTCCAAAGTCTTAGCCATATTGGTCTTCATTAAAAATATCACAAAGAGCCTCCTATCATCCTAAAAATTGATTTATTTATTGTAAAATATAATAAATTTGTTGGTCTTTGACATACTACAATAATTTTCATAATTATCATTCATAGCATTTACTGTTATCTTCCCTGTATCATCATTCTAAGTATATAAAACATTCACAATTTGCACTTCAAACAGACTAATTTTTCTTCAAACTTGTCTTCTAATTATTAAGGTGTAAACTGTTAGTGTGCCATACAGTAGGTCTAATTTCATAGAATTCTTGAAATTTCTGATCACTCCAGAATAGATTTTAGGTACAAGTGGCACAAAAGAAAAAGAAATTGAGAAAAAAGGCTTTTTGATTTCAGTCAATGAAGTATTCTTTTAGTAAATTACATTCACAGAAACTCAGTATTCAAAGCATAAATCTTCACATTTTTATTAGAATAATGCCCCGATTTCAGTTTGTTAACAATGTATTTCTTCTTCATTGTATTTTTAAAGCAACGCCCTTCAAAATGGAACTCAAAATACATCCTGCTTCTGTAAATGATAAATTAAGAGGTTTTTGTGTGGGTGAGAAAGAAAGTACAGCCTGGCTATAATAGATACTAAGTTTATAAATAAATCTCCGGTTTTCTATACCACAATGACTACTTTCGTAAACATTTCAATCAAGTTCTACAACTTTTCAGATTACTCATCAATATGCTGTCGTTTTGGAACATATAAGCTTTAAAAATTAGATTACCGAGAGGTTCCTGACCACAGTGATTGGAAAGCAGTCTGTTTTAAAATTTGTATAATCAATATCTAATTAACATGAGTAACCTTGAGTTTCAAGTTAAGTCTATTAATATAAATAATGTTTTCCTTAAAGTTCACCCTATTTTCCTCCTTCTAGTGAATTCTACCAATAAGACGTTTCATTATTCTGGATAAAAGACAATAATGACATACTGCATTTCTAATATATGACTAACACAACCCTTAAAGATAATAATAAAAATAAATAACAATGAGGAACCTGTCATTTCCCTTTGCTTTTGTAGCTGAAATTCTTAGTGCATGCTAGCAAGTCTCCCTCTGAAGTGTAAATTCAGGCTTACATTTTTCAACCCCCTTACATTTTGTGTATAATCAGTTCAGCTGGCTATAAAAATACTAACAAATGAGTATAATGTGGAGCAGATGCTCCTTCCATCTTTATGTTATTACAACATAAATGGTCATAGCAGGAGGTGGAAGAATGTTTTTGACTGTATGTTTTGGACTACCATATTGCATACAATCTCCAAGTCAAATTTCTGATGACCACAAACAATAGTAAAGAGGTCAGAACTGAAGAAGCTTCTTGGATCAGAAGCGAAATGTCTTCAAGGAAAAACAAAGGAAGTCCAGTTGCCTTTTGAAAAAGCACCTTTGGCAACCATGATCTGGATGACCGAGAATCTCCATAGAAAACAGTAAAGAAGGATTTGTTTCAATATCTCTGCGGCCACTTAGTGGTCTTTTGAATATCTGCAGCCTGGTAATGTGTATATGCATATTTCTGGAGCAGCACATGTTATGTTAGCACAGTTTATGCCCCATTGTGAAACAGGTTTACACAGCAGCATTTCTTAAACTCTGTGCCTGGATCCATCATTGTTTCATTGTTGCTTCACATGCATCTTAGAGATTCCTAGCTTCGCATCAGTAGAGTAAAACTCAGCAGTGGCCCCAGAATAACAGCTTCTTGGATGAGAAGTGAACCTTCTTCTTTCTCAAAGAAAAAAACCACAGTCCAGTTGCCTTTAGAAAAGGCAACTTTGAGACAACTACCACCTGAATGACTGATAATCTTCCATAGACATTCAACAGAGGATAATTGAACAGGCTGTTGCAGGAATGCCAGCAGGATTGGCTGTATTTCACTTAAAAAGCCTCCAAATTAAAAATTCTTCAGAGTCAAGTTTGATTCTTAGTTATTACATGCAATATTTGTAGCCAAAATAGGAAGGAGGCTTGCTTTAGCTTCTTCTGCTTGTTTTTACTAGACTGATCTAGCTTAAAGCGGTAAGGTTTCTTCAGAAGTTCTCAAACAGACCTGTATTATTCCTTTTCCTAAACAAAATTCCTAACTAAAATAGTGAAGCACATGTTTTTGTAGTTATGAATCCCTGTTCAGGTGTTCCTACTCATGCAACAGGAACTTGTCCAAAATGCATCTATTATATTCAAGATTTAAAATACAATCAAACACAGCCAAGGTATATGACCCAAGCTTGTAGAGAAAAGATAATTTTCACACCATTTTCCTTAATACATGGAAGATGTATGACAGGTGATAATGAGACCAAAGGCCAAGCGATGTACCTTTCTCTCTTATTTGCCTCTCCTCACTAAATAGCATGAAAGTGAGCAGCTGATTAAGGCTGGAAACCTACAAAATAGTAATTAATAATTACAGATTCTTCCTTGAGATTGTTGGCATTCCAATCAAAGGCACATTTATAAGTCTTAAAACGATCTCATCATATACGTACTAAGCAAAATCAAGCTTCTATTGGTCTTAATGACCAAAATAACTTTTATTGAATAATTTGGCACACCACTAGCATGGCATCTATCTAGACCAGGGGTAGGCAACCTTGGCTCTTTTCTGACTCATGGACTTCAACTCCCAGAATTCCTGAGTCAGCTGACTCAGGAATTATGGGAATTGAAGTCCATGAGTCAGAAAAGAGCCAAGGTTGCCTACCCCTGATCTAGACTATTTTTAAAGGAAAACCAGGGTCCAGAATCCCAAATGTGTAGAAAAAAAACTTTCCTCAGCCTAACATTTGAGAATTATAAGAAGCTGCAAAAATGTCACCCAAAAGAACAATTATGAAAATAAATATAATATTGTTAGATGGGAGATACGTACGCTCTTCACAGAGGCGTCCCATCCAACCCTCAAGACAGGAACAAACATTTGGCCTCTCACAAACGCCACCATTCTGACATGGGAACCGGCAAACAGCTAGAAAGGGCACATTAGAACCGGAAATTACAGAACAAAAATTATTCCTCAGAAAAGTAAATACTAGTAAGCTGATAAGGAAAGAAAACATTTATTGATTAAAAAGAAAGCATCTAGTATATAATACATTAGAATTACTAGGCAAAAATCCCTTAGTTAATGTTACTTCAGCTATGTGATTATGGCTACCAGATTTGGAATAAAAAAATCTGGACAGCTACTAGACAGTGGCAAAGAATAGTTTACTATGTCTCTTTGCTACTATCTAGTCTTTGTCTGGACTTTTGCAGTTTTAACCAGTCATTTCCCATTTCTCAGTGTAAACCAGGGGTGTCAAACTGCCGGCCCGTGGGCCAGTTGTATCATGCAGAGGCCGTGCCCCTCCCAGCTCCAGCAATGCAAAAAAAGTTGCGATACATCGCGACATGTCACGTGACGTGGCAAGTTTGACACCCGTGATGTAAACCAATCTTCTATGCCAGAGGTCCCCAACCCCTGGGCTGTGGCCCACTACTGGGCCCTGAGCCGTTTGGAACTGGGCTGAAGTGACACATACGCATCCCTGCTTGAGCAACAGGTGTGTGTATGCGCGTTTTGGTTTGGAGGTTTGTGCCCACGCACTTACCTGCCACTTACAGAGAACCATCCCCTCCCTTCCCCTGGCTGGTCCGCAAAGCCAGAAAGGTTGGGGAACTCTGTTCTATGAGGCACAGGGCTATTTTTGAAATATAGATGGTTGTTCCTTCAAAAAAAGCACCAAGCCCTGTATATGTTAAGTAAGGCAAGAATATTGTACTATATGCAATAATTGGAAAAGCAATCGAAGTTGGATTATAAAATTAGAAACTGCAAAGCTGATCAGTTTGATCAGAGAAAAAAAGATTTTTTTAAAAAAAGACTGAAAACCTTAAATGGCCTTTCTGTTAAAAAAAAGGAAAAAAAGATTCAGTTGTTGATTTTAGGATTTGAGAAGGGATAAAGATGGGGAAAATATTAAGATGGTAATTACTCTGCGGAAGGCATAATTTTGTTTCCTCCCCCCCTTCTTGTTTTCTGTTTCTGTTATTTTTGATCTCTTTTTTTGTTTGTCTTGTATAATTTTACTATATTGAAAAAACTCTAAGAAAGATACATAGATAGATTACATTAAGAACTGACAAGCATCAGCCTGGCTTTATGAGAGCAGATGCCCTTGCAGAACCAAGGTTCTAATGTTTCCTGCAGCCTGAGCTAAAATGGCCCCAGAGGATCAGAGAAGCCATGTCTGTAGCAGCCTCAAATGGCCTATAAGGGTTGGCCAGATCCTAATTCCCGACTACATCACAAAATTACATCCAAATTGTCTATATTATTCTGGATGTGGAAAAATTACAGCCACTTGTGGGCATCTAAGGAATTGACTGCCCCTTGCCCTTCTCCCAAAATATCCTGTCCACAATAGAAATGCTTCTGGTAATAAACGTGCACCTGTAACCCTTTTACAGGCATCCCTGCACCCATCCTGTGCTGCCCACAAGCTCTTTTCTGCCAGCTGGGAGTCATCTGGGCTCCATGTTAAGTTATCTCATGTAGCCAAGGAGGTGATTGTTTGTGTGGAACATATCTAATTGTGGGTTTACTGGGCAAATTCTATAATAGGATGAACAGAAGCCTGAATCTGGTAGATTGTTTACTGAGAAACAGTTCTGGATTACAAGGCTTAAAAAAAACCCTATGCTTATAATTATATAATACTCTTTAATGATATATCTGTAATTGGTTGAGAGCGTATTAGTTTCGCAAACCCAGGACATCTGCTAATATTGCTCGTACTAAAGATTTACATGATCTGCTTTCATGCTGCCTCTGATGTAGGCCCTTCAAAGCAAAATGCTGCAAGTCTTTTGTTAGTCAATAAGCCTACATTATTTATAACACACTTTTAAAAATGAGCAAGGAGAAGTCCATTATGACATCAATCGGGAAAATATAGGCCATTTCTGCTACTTCTACCCTTTTCTGTCACCCGCTTTGAGACAGGAAGATGAGAATGAATACAAATAGTTATTATTTAAATATAATCTTCTTTTGCTCATTATGTGGTGTTTGCTAGTGATAAATAATCCATAAGACACCTGAAGACACTGCACAAATAGAGTGTTGTGACAGTATAAAGACTGCACATTTATATTACTGTTGTCATTGCGTAATCCTATTCTATTTGGGAATAGATTAATTACATATTCAATATTATTTGGAAACTAAGTCCTATTGATTTTAAATTCAATGGAACGTTTTTCATCCAAGAGGAAATTGTACAGACTGTGGACAGTGGCAGGCGCAGCACACCAAGATGAGGTCAGAACGACCTACATATAGTCATACTATTATGCAAATACTATTCTTATTTTTTATCCTGACATTTGATATGAGTATGTAAATCACAATACTTGTAGGACAATATTGCACCAGCATGTTCTGTCGTTTGCACTCCTCCTCCTGCCCTAGGTTCTTTTGCCACAAACTGTTTGGTCTACCAACTTGAAATCTACCAACATTTTCTGAAAACAAAAAGTAAGAATATTTCTTCTTTCTGTAATAAAACTGAAACCTGCATGTTGTGGGTGCTAAATATGGACTACACCTACTTCCCGAATTGCTTGGACCTCACATGATCAGTTTTTCTCTACTATTCATTAAGGCAACCCAAGGTTGCCTTTTCAGGGTTCTGGGAAAAAAGATGCTGTTATTTTAAGAGTTACATTCAGAGTAGACTTCTTAAAAGCAGCAGTATCTTTTTTTAAGGTCATACATACCGCTTGAAAATGTAATTATGTTGTAAAGAAAGCAGATAACTACAGGGCTCTTGTGATGTCTAAACACTTCCTCTGACACATCTTTGAGGTGTGCACAGCGTTAATAAGTACAGAATGCTGTGTAGGCAGTCATAGTTATGGGGTAGAAAAACCACTGTAGGAAGACAAGCAGTGATTGACAGATTTCCCTTTCTTTGGGTCAGAAAAGACACCTTCAAACAAACTGCTTAAACAGAAGAACACTGACATCCCCTAAACTCTGCTGAAGATATTACCTAGCCTGGTAACGAGATGTTCAGAAACCAACCCACAAGCTCGGAGAAAAAAAACTTCACCCTCATCCTACACCCGAGCTACAGATATTCACCACCATTGCAAACTGCTTACTTTCTGGCTGAAAAAATTGGGAAGGGACAGTTCCGCAGCAAGGGATGAAGACTTGACCAGCTGTAGACTCAAAGTCACAGTTAGCAGTCTGCTAAATCCCTGGCTGCTGGATCTGTTTATTATACGAAACACAATTGTGAATCTTGTAGCAGATTAAAGTCTAAACATTTATTAGGTGTAAAAAAAATGTAAGCTTAAGTGTATCTTATGAAGGGGGTTCAGTTCACAAAATTCATATTGCAATGCGTTTGTTAGTCTTTTAAGAGTACTGCAAATTTCTTTTTAAGTTGTCTCTTTAGCTGCTAAAAAAGAAATGTTGCATCTCTTTGCCCTGAATCTATAATTCCTTAGGCGTAGAAGTAGAATACCAACCAATATTCAAAACAGGAAGCAAAGGAAAGGTACAGATTTGAAAAACAAAGCTCAGTTTAGAAAAGGGCTCCTAAATGCAAAACATTTGTGACAACAAGAAATAGGGATATTATGGCAGTTCCCCAAAATGTCTTAATATAAAACTGGGTCAGAATTGTCAGATGTTTCAAACTTTTATATATTATAAGATTTTATATTATATTATAAGCTCTTCTTTATAATATCTATCTGAAGATTGCAAGTGGCTTCATTTTGCTGTATGTTGTTACTCTCAACTAATTATAGAAAGCAGAAGTGGAGCAATATACTAGCACATTAGTGCCCCATCAAATTGGGGGTTGTGCTTAATGAGATGTTGGTATGTAAACAGAGTTTTAATCCAGAGCTCACATTTAATCTGTCTGCCTGCCTGTCTGTCACCCTCTCTACTGTCTGTCTGTTTGTCGAGTTTTTCTTTAATAGGTTTACCAGATTTTGGCATTCCCTCAAGAATAACTAACAATAATATAATGGCACACAATAATATAGATAGGTTTTGAAGGAATAGAAACACATAAACATACGCACGAGTTCAAAATAAGTTATTTCCTGGCAAATGGCTCATTATGGTTCAGGACATCAAAAAAATATATAGTGTTATGTGCTGTTTATTTCACCCTGAATGCCAACTTTGGCAAATTTCTGGAAAACGGTCTTTGGAGGATACTATTAGCCCAGTAGCTCTAGTAAGGAAAACTGCCCTTGCATAGTTGTTGAAACTGCAAATTTACCTTTGCAAGCTGGTGGTCCCGTCCAGGTTCCGTTCTCTAAACAGACACTTCGAAGGGAGCCCTCTAGCATGTATCCACTGTAGCATGAATAGGTCACCATATCTCCATATTGATAAAATGTTCCACGTATCAAAGCATGTTCTACATGAGCAGGTGGCCCACAGGAGATCCCTGAATAAAATGGCAACAAAGAATTTGGTAATGGTAAGCTGCCTTACAACCCGACATAGTGCATCACAGGGTTAGAGACAATAAATAATTGCAAAGCTGAACTTTGGCAATCTCTCTGAATTCCAGAAAGCTGCAGATAGATTCCAACATCTAAATATATAAGCATGGCTATCTGTAATCTTCTGTAATATCGGCTGGTATATTGGAGCAAGAGAAGATTTTATTATCTCCTTAAATATATACCATTCAGCTCCAAGAAAGGGGAGAAAAAAATCCCACAACCAGAAAAAAAGACGAATAGCTGTATTAACTATTTCATACCAAGAATTTGTGAGGAAAGATTATAGCAGCAGCAATGACATCTGATACGTTTGAGCAATTCTAGCTGAAGGATTGCCCTCTTGTCCTCAAGGATTTTTCTTGTTAGCCTAAAAGCTGTCCATTTTAAGGTATCTCCAACTGATGGCTGCCCAGCCTTTTCTTGAATTTATTTAGTAATTTAGTACCTTTTCATGTATGAAAGATGCATTTGAATACATCGGAATGAATATGTGTCCACTTGCAAAATCTATATTTCTTAGTTTTGTTTCATAGCTTTCCTGAAGAGTCAGATGACACAAAAAAAGATTTTAAACCAAAAAAGCAAAATGAAAGCTGTTTTTCATTAACTACTTACTCTCACACTTAGATCTAGTTGAAGTCCAGACCTCATCAGGATTACAGCTAATCACAGATTGTCCCTGAAGTCGGTAGCCTTCTCTGCATTTGATATATACCTTTTGCCCAACATAAAATGTCGTTTCTGAGAGGATGGCATTTTCTGGGATTATAATAGGTACAGGGCACGGATTTGCTGTTTAAAGCAAAGAAAAGGGGAAAAGATAGATTTTAAAAGATTACCGAAGTATATTTTGATTGTCCTTATTTACTTACAAATTTCCATTCCTTTCCTTACTTCTGGGAAATTTACTTATTATTCATTGTACACAATCCCCCCCCCGCTTTTCCTTATCAGAAAAAAAAGACTGTAAACTTACAACAGCTATTACCAGAGAGAAAAACATATATTAACCATTTGCTTCTTTATTGTTATTCTGTTGAAGATTCCTTCTGCTGCTTTTTATCATGTGATGGAAAATATAGGAAAATACGGTCCTTTTTATGTTTCTAGAGAAAAATGGCTTGAAGGGGACCCAAAGGTGGAGGAAAAACCTTGAGATAATCCTGCCTGGAATTCTGCTGTTAATTATTAGGAAGTGTGCATTAAAGGTTTTCTGCTGCTTCCACCATTAAAGAATTGCACAATGTACATGGATGCACCTTTTACAGTTTTATTGTTCTGCTGGTGAGAGTAGGGCAGGAAACAGTGCAATAAATACTCTCTCTTCATTTCAGGTGCTGCCAGTCATAGCCATCACTGCCAATGCAGCCATTACCTTGCAGGCAGTACTAGCTGGTAACAGATATCATGATTGACCACATCTTCCTGCTTCGCCCTGTATCCTTCTTCCAAGCAAAAACTTTAATTAAAAGTGATTAAAACTTTGATTTTAGAAAGTTACAAATGGATTAGGGTTCCCGATAAATTTAAAATTCTGGAATTCATTATAAATAATCCTTCCTGTGGGAAAATGTTTTTTTTTTATTCTTTTATAAAACACACAATAAGACAAGACTAAAAAATGGACCTTAGAAAAAACTATAAACAACTAAAAATTACAATTAAAGAAGAACATTCAAACTTGACTTATGAATACAGAATGAAGCAAATATTTTAACATTGGACATACTGAAGAATGTTAAAATGTTTTTGAACAATGGCCCCATAAGTTAGTTTTAAGAGTTTATGTCTCTACAGAAAAGCTATGTGTAAAATATGCTATGGAAGAAGAACATGTTTTAATTGACATAATTGAGACTGATCTGAAAGTGGATTTAAAAATGATAGACTGCAAAAATGACATGGAGACAGATGTTACACTGGACATACAAAAGAAATGGGCTGATCTCTTAATTAAAAGGGATATACAAATAACATACCAAGAGAGTGACCTGGATACTTTTTAAATATTGTGTTTAGAAAACAGGTTTATTAAAGCTTTTAAGAATTTTGTGAGAAGGAACAAAGAAAAATGGAAAAGAAATTAAGTTCTAGCACTTTATTTGACGGGTCTAAAGATCAAGATTGTTAGAAGTAAAAGGAAGGAATATAAACTTATTTTACTTGATCAAAGTTAAAATAGATATGCTGTTATTTCTGTAACACTTTATGGAATTTTGCTGACATCAGGACTACAATGATGAGGCTTTATGGATTTGTTTATAGATAAGATATGGGATATGATAGGAAGAGATCATTGGCTATATTTTAAGAGAAGTTGATACGGTACTAAAATTGTTTATATTTGCTATGATGAAGGGGAATATATATATTTATATATTTTGCCTTTTTCTTTGCTATATTCTTATTTCTTTTCTTTCCAGAAGTTAGTTAAAATGGGGCTTTCTTGAAAAATATTTGGGGGGGAAGGCATTTTCAGATTCTTACTGCTCTATACTTATTGGATTTTTAAACACTATTATTGACCACTGAGAGTCCTTGAAAATTATGGCCCCATACAATTCAAGCCATTTAATTAACTGGAGGAGGGATTCCATAAATGGAATAAAAGCACTGAAAAGCTCCACAATAGATTTATTACTTGTCTTACATAAGGCAGAAGCACCAGGAAAAAAAAAACGTCCAAAGATAATCAAAACATACAGGCAAGTTGATATTTTTTTTCAAATACTTAGAGACTGTAAACTGTTCTGGGCTTGATATTTAATTCTAGCAATTCAAATGGTATTTGATCACAGAGAAGAGTGCCTGAGTTTTTTTTTAAAAACTAGTAACAGTGAGATTATGTTCCTGTTGTTCTAACTGAAAAATTGTTTTAGTTTACAAATGGAGTTCAAACATTTTTTACCCAGATCTTTTAAATAATTATTTAAAGGTGTTTTTTTTTAATGCTGTTGGTTTGCCTTATGGACGTTTGTATGCCACCAAAGTCACAAATGTGATTGGATGCATACACCCACACATCTGAGGTTTCTGAACAGACCTCAAAGGCTCAATTTTTGATTAGAAATATTGGGTAAAAATTATTTCCATTTCCCCTCCTAATATTGTTTTTAAATGTTGAAATGTTGTTATGTGTCTTACAGGATAAAAATTACATCATGGCTTGCTTGGTTGTAAATCTGACTCAATGTATCTTTACTGCCACCTTGAGGTCAATTAAGATATTTATAGCAAATGTTATATAGAACACACTTTCAAAGATGAAATAAATATTACAGAAATATGGTTGAAAATTTTAAATAGATGTACACTGTAGACAATTATTCTATGGCCAATCAGTATGGCCTTCTACAGAAACAGAAATGATAATTCCTTTACAAGTGATAGTCTTGTAAAGAATTGATAGTTATATTATAACTTCCACTGTGAGTCTTGGTGACTGAAGACATCTCCTTGAACAAGCAGAGATGATAACTGCTGTGACTGATGAGTAGACCGATCCTTAGATACTCTCTGGAGGAGGACAGAATGGGAAATCTCCTACAATTGCTCTAAATGGCAGTTCCTTGCATGGAGATCATTGTTTTATGGTCTCCTGTGGGATCGAGCACCAGGGAGTTGACATCGTTGCCAGAGCACTGGAGTCTTTAAGGACATGAGGCCAGTCAACAACATTTTTAATCACATTTGGAAATGTTTAATGTAATCCGTTTATGGATATTAGAGACCTTTAAACAGTGAGCTTAATATGACACCTGGTGAATTTTATGTTCTTCCTTGGGTTTAAGAAATTTTAAACAAAGACTTAATAATTTAAAATAATATATAATTGGCAGAAAGGGACCTTGGAAGTCATCTAATCCAGTGGTCCCCAACCTTTTTGTTTCATGGACTAGTGGGTGGTGCACGGTAGCAGTGGGGGCGATGGGTTTGTGCGCTCAATGTAATTCTGTGCATGTGCAAATGAAACTTCGTGCACTCACCCACCACTTGTGCAGCCCAGTTCCCAATGGGCTGCAGCCCGGTAGCAGGCCATGCCCTGGGGTTGGGGACCCCTGCTCTAGTCCAACCCCCTGCTCAAGCAGGAAACATTATACCATTTCAGACAAATGGCTGTCCAATCTCTTCTTAAAAACCTCCACTGGTGGAGTACCACAATTCCTGGAGGCAAGTCATTTCATTTATTAAATGTTCTGTCAGGAAATTTCTCCTTAGTTCTAGTTTGGTTCTCTCCTTGATTAGTTTCCATCCATTTTTGGAAACTAATCAAGGAGAGAACCAACTTAGGATTTTGATTTAAGAAAGTTTTAAATGGATTGGGAGACGAGACTTGGAACATTAATTATTTTTGCTGTAAGATTTGTATAATATACAAATAATATACTTAGTGGGAAATGACTCAAATGAATTAAATCCATGGAACTGAGGTTTGATGAAGGTTGCAAATGGACACTAGAGGGAGATAAAGCATTAGATAGAAAAGAGTTAAAAATGCCTAAGCCAGCTATAACATTTTCTTATCTTAAAATGAGTTGTTGATAACTGGACTGAGATATTAATAAATTATATTTCAGGAAGGATATAGATAAAAGTTTAAACAGATAAACGTTTAGAAGATTATGAGAAAAAAAAACTTAAAATATTTTATCTGAACATAATAGAGTTTGGAGGCGTGGAAGAGAATAATACTGAGATTACCAAAATGGCAATACAAAAGACGAATCAAGGTTATGTGATGGCCCATTACTGTTTTAACTCAAGGACCTACCTGTATAATTATTAAAAACTTCAATAAAAAAGAATAATGGTTATAATGAAATATATATTCCAGAAGCTAATTTCCCAACTTGTTAAATTTAAACAGGTCTATCTCATGAATTTGAACATTTTGAGGAAAAACAATATCCAGAACTCAGTTTAAAGTAAAGACTACTGTCTATTATTAAAAAGAAACATACGTTTGCATAAGGGTGTTGGGTGGCTCCATGCTCCGGCTTCTGTGCATTCTGCAATAGGTTCGCCTTCCAAACTATAACCCCTATTGCAGTAATATGCGGTTCTGCTACCAATTGTATTATTTTCAGAGACAACATTTCCATTCGCAATCAATTCTGGATCTTCACATCTGGTTTCTAAAAAGTGGGGTATGATAGTTAAGATATCTCTTCTCTGTTCAATCACTTAATCATAATCAGATAATTTTCTGGATGAATCTACATTGTTTAAAAAGGGTTCAAAGACCTAAAATTACTTTTTTTTTTTTAACTGAAAATTTTATAACATTTTACAATATAAATCCCTCCCTCAAACCCACCCTTCCGCCCCCTCCCCCCCCACTTCCCAGAGCCAATCACAGGAATAATAATGAAATAATCATACTCTAAATAATCTTAAACAACTATAAAAATATTAAATCTATAATCTCCTTTAACTCTATCTGAAAACTGTTAAAATAACAAATCTGTAACCTCCTTTAACTCTCTTTTCAACAGATATATAATTAATAAACACGATAATAAT